TTATAAATATTTCGAGTATGTTTTGTAGCCCATAAAATTTTAGTGTAGTAAAGTGTAATCATGCATCTTAAACGAAAATATTTAAATAGGAGAATGCCTTCAAGAGCGTGCGTAAAAAGAGTTATAAAAAATCAGCGCGATTAATTATACTAAAATTTAATGGGCTATAGAACTGCATACTTATAAACTCTGATTTAAAATATTGAAGTTTTTTATAACAGTTTCTAGAATTCTACTAAATTTCCAACACAGTTAGAAACGTGAATTTACTTGTTTATGTTATAATACTTATGAGCCATCCTTAAATAAAAAATTTACGAAAAATATTTAGCATGAAAACTATTGTGAATATTCAAAATTCTATATTTCTTATGAGATGCCGGAAAGTCTATGTATTACATTTCAATAAATTTAATGCAATTTAACGCTGAGTTATCACAAATAATCATTCAATATATCACCGTTTTTCTCATTTTTTGACACGACTTAGTTCAGATTTTTAATTATAGGGATCCCAGAAATACCCATTATACGTAAAAAATATAAATTATTTTTAAGAATAACGGTTTTAGAAAGTAAAGGAATAATTGACACTTTATGTTCCTAAATTTAAAGCACAGTTTGCGTCAAAAAGTAAATTAGTTCAAAACAAATAGCTCTTGAAACATATAATGAAGTATTTATATTTACAAAATTGTATGCGTGCTTATTTACAGAAAAGGCTCTATACTATACTTATTAGAACCAGCTCAAAACTAACCACATTTTTTCTAGCCCGGAGGTGGCCCTTTTTGAACTATCTAAGAACTGTTGTTATATGAACTGTATCAGAACCATCTACGCCAGAGTCAGCTCAGAACAAGTTCAAAAGTTCTGCAGAGGGCGACAATTGTCACTTCGTAGGACATCGCCATGTTAAAAAAGACAGTTGCAAGCATTGAGTTGGGATAGATGAAGAACCAGTACCGTCCCTTTTCAGGCTAGCTCAGCGCAAGTTCTGAACCAGTTTGATTTGCTGCAGGGAAGTGCAAACGTGTTGCAAACGTATTGTGTACTTTCAAGTGAACAATCGAAGTAATTCGTGCGTTCTAAAGTAAAAAAACATTTTATTTGTAATAAAAACTTTATAAAAATGTCGTGTCGTGTGTTGAATTGCAGCAGCCGTAAGGGTAAAGCTTCCAAATGCAGTTTTTTTGTTTCCCCGCGACGACGCCTTGGCCAAAAAGTGGGTAGATGTCTGCCGGCAGGAGAAGCCATACAATTTAGACCTATTCTTTTGAACATATTTCAAGAGTGGTTGGTGTGGTTTTTTTAACGTTGTGTTTAATTTGCTATATTCAAAGATGGCTTGAGAAATTGGTGAATCGTGAAGAAAACACGTTTTCTCACTGCAAATTCACAACTGCCAACTCATTGTTCTACGCCATATTCTTTGTTTACCCATTGCCACAAATGTCATTCTGCGGGAATGCGCAATCTTGTATTCTACCGTTCTTGATTAGTTACGATGTCACCGGTGACCACTACATTTTGACAGGTTACTTCTACGTTTTGACAGGATATTTCTATGTATTTTCCAGGCGGTTTCCAGGCAGAAGAAGAACATTTGTCACTTGTATATATGCACAATGCCGTATATGCGGCCTATGACAACACGATATGTTCCGGAAAAGTCATATGTAACGGGTGTCTTCAATTAACTTTACTGGAGAAATGTAACAATTTAAATTGACGAATCGCACACGCTATCGAATGCCGATTTGCAGCTCTCTCGGGTTATTACGGTATCGAATTCGCTCTCTCGCAAATTTTTGAGTTATTGAATGCATTTCCCGTAAAGACTCAAATACTCTAAACAATTCGTTACAATTTTTTGATATTGAATGGACCTTATATTTTTGGGTAGTCACGGCGTTGCCGTGTTGTCACTAAAATAATTATCTACATAAAGCCCAAAATACAATAACGCAGTGGCAGTGGCAGCGGCAGTTTTTCGAAATCAGCTGTTTTTAGAAAGTGTGGTGTCCAATGAAGCGACTCACAATACAGCAGTGGCAGCTAGCAGTACTGCTCAGTTTTTAGAATAAAAACTAATTAAAAATGCATAATATGCCTTTTTTTCGAGCTCACACTCAACTATGTGCGTACGCAAAGCATTCGCATGTGAACGGCAAGTTTTGACAGATGTGTGTGTACGTCCATAATAATACAAATGGAATTATTTGCCTTTGCGAACGCTCGCATTGAACTGTATATCAAGCTTTACGCGAGTTCGAAATCGTATGCTTTTGACAAACAGCCGTGTTCCAGTCGCTTATTCAGATCCGTATCTATCACGGTCAATTCGCAAAGAGAAGATAATGTGCAAATAACCCTACTGAAAAGGGAAAAAGATATTTTAAACGAAAAATTCAATTTAAAAACTTTAATTGTTTTAACCATAACCGAAAATTTGTGTGTGTATATATTCATTTATCGGTGACGTCAATTGAAATTTCCTTAACTAAAAAGGAAACAAAACAAACAGAGTTGGTCAACAATTGAGCCAGATTTCTATCAGCATCACATCGATGTTGAATTTGCGTAACTTTTCTTTATCCAAATAATGTAAAATAAATGAAATCTCGATCGGCGATCACTGAAACGCAGCTAGCCACTGTATTCGCGAAAAAGCAATGTTGGCACTTTTTCCCATTAAACCATGTTCGAATAGTGGAAGTGTTGGAAGACCGCATGGTTGCTTTTAGCATTTAGATTCTTAATGCAAAAATGGAGTTGCATTTGGGTGACCAATTTTACATGGGAAATGTATATTTGCGCGTAAGCAAAAACAGCCCATAAACTTCGTCAAGCGAGCAAGAATTTTATGCGTGTGAACACCACAGGTTATAACTGGTTCAAGCATGCCATGTGTATGTATGTAGTTGCAAATATTTAACCAGTTTTTGTTTCATTTCGCTTTTGTCGGTTATGGCGGAGTGTGTTGTGGTATTAATTTGTTCGAAAAGATACGCCTCGCTCAATAGTATACTGTGGCTCAATATTAATCCAATTGAATTAAAAACTACTCGGTCTCG